ATGCAACAGAACAAGCACGTTTAAACAACGATAAACAATAAAATCAAAACCAGCGTTTCAGTTGTCCATAGTTCAAGTGGCCTTAATGCATGCACGGCTTTTCAAAATTTCACAAAGCGTTTTGAGATTATTTTGAATGAAATATTGAAGTTTATAATTAAGTGTTTTGGCAGACCACGCCGAGTGACCCTATGCATTTTTCTAAAATCGGGTTTTATTCGAACTTTTGCTAACGACAAAAGTTTATCTGTCGTCTCTGTCTCCGGGAACTGCGCGTCACAAAAATGAACCGAAAGCCACTTCAGCTCAGTCACTATAAGAAATCGGCTCTGTCTAATGCCTTTAAATGTCTAAATATTCAGGCTAATAAATGTTATCTGATTATGTAATCCATATGAAAACGAGAGGTACAGAGGATCTACTCAAACATGTAGCCTATGTAAGCGCTTCCCAATGAGAAAATGACAAGGGTGAAAATCTCGCTCTAATGAAATGTAGCAGGCTAAATCGCCCTGAATTAAAATGTAAAAACAGATCAAATAATGTATTTGTCGAAATGTTGCGATATTGTTTCATTTAAGTTCATAATTATTCTATAGGCCTACATGTTATTTAATTTAGCAGCATTACCACGAAGCACCGTGGTTCGATATTTATTTGAATAATAAAAAAAATAATAAAAACTTAATTCACAAATTGCATGCCTGGTTGAAAGGATCCAAAGATCCCTGTAGAATTTAATATTAAGTTGAACATTTTGTTCATGACAACAAATGAACATGCGTTTTTTCAGATTATATTTAGTTTTGCTTGGAAAAAGCTGGCCCAAACCAGTTTTATTTCATCAATTATTGAAATAATGAAATATTTAGTAATAAACTTTTATGACAGAAAATTCACTAGGCTACATGTAACTTAAATCATTTAATTCCTTCATTATCAACACTGTCTAGAATAGCGATTTAAGTGTGAATTACGACTTCTCTTTGTGTTAAATCAGCCTCAGACTCCGATAGCCTGTGGGGGGTTGGGGGACAGTTCAGTGCTGTGCGCGCAGGACAATAGGCCTAGGTGTTAATGTTCCTCTTTCATATGGAGAGCGAGGGAGACTAAATAAACTTGTTAAAAAGAGATTCAGCGCGAGAGAGGCAAAGAAAAACGCATGTTTTAATTTAATTATGTTGCTTTGGACAATTTTCGTTTTGTAGGCCTACTGTTTTAATTGTTTAATGTCATTTATTTGGCAATACAAATTTAAAATGTCGCAAGAATAATATTAGCCTAGTGTTTCTTATTTTGCATCGCAAAAGAAATAAACTCTAAACCCGATGCAACCCTGTTTTAAATAAAAAAAAACACTTTATTTAAACCTTGAAATGTTCGAACTTGGTTTCAAACTTAAGTAATTTTAGTGTTCTTTTACATTACACAATAATTTAGCAGACTAAAGACGAGCTTCTTCATTTTCATTTTCTGATGCAATCGGCTGACAATCTTCCTTCATCAGTTTGTGTCCTTTGTGCAGCGGCTGCGGTTCTACTGGAATGTAGCAAATTTATGTTGTAATGATAATTAAACAAAACTCTTGACTTTAAATAAGTAAACAGTTATAAACAGTTAGCTATTTAAGCATCAAGAAGGTAAAATATAAACGCTGTTGGCCAACATCGGTTAACAACATGTATGCCACATTGAGATTCGATCTCGGGTCGATTGAAGCTCCCTGAAGCTCGTGTTGATGCGTTGATCACTGAGCCACCGTTTGTACGCTGTTAGAGTTAAAGTCTTATGCTTTTGTAAAGCTTCATTGATGTAGCCTAAATGTTTTTATTGCAATGTTTTATGTTTTCATTATTTATTCAATTTCATTTCAGTATTTCAGCCTAATTTCAGTATTGTGGTAATGAATTATTTTAACTACGTTTCACTTGTTGAATTCATCTGCTACCAGCTTTCAATCGCTCTGAATGAGCAGCAGATTACGCATTAGAGAGAATAAACGAACACTTTTCAGAGTCTATGATTGTAGCGCCTCTTAGCGGTAAAAGGTAGCAAATACACCCCACATTTTACCGCCGCGGTGGAACGGCTGATGTGGGCGTTGTCATGGCTTTCCTCTACATTTGCGTTTGAATAGCGCGCGTTCTCCGTGGGCGTGTCAGATTAACGCGTAATGAAGTGTAATGAGCTGGGGAAAAAAATTCTGACAGCACTCTCTTTTCATACAGATTACATAAACTGAGAATATTTGTTTTTTATATAAATTACTTCATTGAAAAGAAGAGAATTCAAGCTTCATAAAGAAAAATCTCTCGTGCCTGTGTGACAAGTATTTGCAGAGTTAGAGTTAATTTTTCGGACGCGTTTCAGAATGGACTGCACTGACAGAGAGAAGGCAAAACTCGCATCATGTTTATTTTTCTTCATTTGACAAAAAGCACAACACTTTGTTTTTATTGTGAGTATACAGAAAAATAATATACACTAAACAGGATCGACTGATGTATAACACTTACATGTAAGATTAAAATCAACAGAGTATTTTGAGTCTCTTTTGCACTGATAAGAAAAAAAGTCTGCCTATCGCGCCGGCGCGATAGCCGACCCCAGGGGGCTAAGGTACCCACCAATGATCAAAAACAGCAATTAAATGGCACTGTGACCGACACTGACCATACAACTTAAGGTTTCCCGGAACATACAATGACGTCACTAAATAGGGACGGCACAACTGTAAGAGAATCCTTCACAAGTTTCTGCAAGGCCTAACTACAGCCTTGTGTATTATTCTGTCACGTATATAGCTACGTTGAGACCAAAAATCTTTCAGTTAATCAGTGATATTCTCTCACAGACAATGTCATTGCCCTTTCCACTACATCGATTTCTGATTCTGACTGATCTAACTCCCGTTGCTCGTGTCTCCGGCTATCCTGATTATTATTAGCAGTTCCATCTTCGGGATCTCTTTTGATCAGAAACACTACCAGCTTTATTCGTGGATATGAAAAATTGAAAAATGCTTGACTGTCTTTTTGACATTTTGGCGATAAGATCTTCTAATAAATGTATATTAGAATAGTTCATCAGGTAGGCTACACTCTCTCTAAACATGATGCTACTCTCCAAATGTTTCGCTTTACTGCGTGCAAAACAATAAGCAGTAAGCACGAGTGATAGTGATTTTGAACTTAGGAAAGCTGATAAAAAATATATTTGCTGAGGGCCAATAGCAAAACATAACCTTCAAATAGATTTGCTTTAACCCGTGCTCGCTCTGTCTCTCACGATGCGTGTACCCTGGCGCCAAAGCGAGCGTTTTCAATTAATTCCTATGGAAGCTGAGCTTTACGCTCAAGCACGAGAACTGAACTGAAAACGTTTGCTTCATGCCAGTGTGCACACACCATCAACATGTAATACACTTGTTTATGCCGGATCGTTTAAAAACAATGCCGCAATGCAAAAATCCAATATTGGACATTTTCCAGAACAAATTAAGCACTGGTGCACGGCCACTAAACAGACAATCAGCAGGTAGATTGTGGAAGCTATTTTTATGGCTTATGAGGTGCGCGGTCTGCCTTCACCTCTTCAAGTCAGGGCACATTCCAGTATAAGCGTTGCTTCTACCAGAGCATTGTTGTCAGGGGCATCCTTGCAGGAAGTTTGTGATGTAGCGGGGTAGTCCTCCCCACACACATTTATAAGGTTTTATAGGCTGCACCTGGGTCCCAGGTTCTTTTGTCCTGACTTGTGCCTGGACAGCTTCAAACCAGGACAGGCATTTGTCAGCATGGTGATGTGGGTATTTCGTTCCCCAAAGCGTCAGCTGGTGCTTGTTCCCCTCTCAGGGAACCATGGTTCATGCGTAACCTGAGACATTCCCTTTCGAGGGAACCCGTTCTGCGTCCTCTTGCCATACTTCCTGCATGCCCGAGAGCTGCTTGCTTCAGCCTATCAAAAGCTGATGCTGTTATGTTACCGGCTTCCGCCTTACGCCGGCACACGTCACAAGGTGACGAAGCACCAATCAACATCGGACTAGTTGCACACATGCTTCAGTCGAAGTCACGCTGAGGGTGTTCCCCAAAGCATCCGATGGGACGCAGCGTCTCGTTCCCCTCTCAGGGAACCATGGTTACATTTGTAGGCTGAGACATTTCCCCTGTGTGTGGGGTAAACGGCCAACTTTGCCACCTCATACATTTATACGATTTTTAAACAAACATTTTAAACAAACATTTTTTTTTCACACAAAATCTGTTTCTCCATCAATGTTCCAAAAAAATGAAGTTTTTTCTGCAATCATACACTATGTGAGTAATGAAAAGCACTTTTTTTAAGGTGTGCCTTTAGCCCCGTTGTAACCATGTACACTACAGTAGCAAATACAGTTTAATAATGTATATGCTATGAATCCACAGTGCATAAAGTGTTATAGCCTACATGTATGATGCACATCAGACAGCTCTCTGTTCTTCAGTATTGCATAATGGCATCCATGAAGCGTTTTTCACAATTTTTTTTCTATTTCACTTCCTTTAGACCTCGGAATTTAAATCGGATCCTTTGTTCCAAGCACACAATAGACGTGGTGCATTGATATGTAAAAACACTATATAATAACTAGAGTAGGGCTATTCAGTCTGTTGACCTGTCATTATACAGTATAGGCTATATGTCATCACTATTTAACATCATTAAAATATGAATTTAGGCCAGGCGTAAATATTTAAAACTATGATAAGAAAAAAGAGTGCAATAATGAACCATTTCAATATTTATTGTGTGAAATGTAATGTTTATGTGCCAAACTAGAATGAGAAGTTTATTTTTTAACGTTCTAAAAGCCTATAGATGTGATAAAAATTGATATATCTATCGATAGTTCAGTGAATACACAGTATACGCGCTGATGATTGTACTATTTGAGCGGATGGTTCACGCATCTTGCTGGTGCGCGTGACTGGCAGGAATTCTCTCGCGCGTGGACTGACCGCGCGCCTGTGACGTCGCGTGTGAAGCGGTGTGACTCCCTTACACACGCACCCACTCCAGATCCACGGAGTGAAGGATGCTCGCAGTGTCTTTCCCTAGCACTCCCCCAGCAGCACCATGTCCACAGTGATGAGCGGGTTGGTGAATATGGCGAGTCTCGCGGATTTCGAGCCGCTCGCGGGAGTGATCCCCGCCACTAAAGTTGAGATCACCGTGTCGTGCAGGTGAGTGACGCGCGTGCCTCTGTCAGGAATGCACGCGATGCTTCTGGGAATCAAAAGACTCAAATGCGATGGCTGAAAATTTGAGGGCTGTATCAGCATTTTTTCATATTGCATATTGTCAATTAGTTGACAGTCTTTTTTAAATGTCCTCGTAGTAATGTGTTTGCAAGGCTCTGCGTTTATAAAGTTCATTATTTAGTGTTTTATTTGTTGTATGCGTGCATCGTTTGATTGCAAAATAATCAGCTCGTGCTTAGGCTATTATAACAAATCATAATTGTGCGTAAGTCCTGAAGGGTCATTGAGTGATGTTTCTATGAAGCATGTATACACAACACAATGCATTATAAAGGTATCTTATAGATATTATGATTATTCATAATACAATTTTTCAAGTGCACTGCATCACAATATTTAGCACTTGGTGTTGTCCATGTGTGGTAATGCATTACATTCTTCTAGAAGTATTATTACAGTATAAGTATGTGGCTCTTATGCACAATAACGTGCAGCTGACTATATAAAGTAAGTGTGCAATGAATCCACAGTGCATAACGTGTTTATAGATGTATGATGCACATCAGACACAGCTCTCTGTTCTTCAGTATTGCATAATAGTGGCATCCGTGAAGCGTTGATGTCTTGAGAAGCAGCGATTTCTTTTCTATTTAACTTCCTTTAGACCTCGGAATTTAAATCAGATGCTTTGTTCACAACACACAATGGACGTGCATTGATATGTAAAAACTCTATAATAACTAGAGTAATTCAGTCTATTCACCTTTTATTATTAAAATGCAACAGTATCCACACCTGAGATGAGAGAGCAGGGCTCTCTGTGTGTGTCGTTTTCAGGGAGGAGAAATGTAAATTTATATTTATCACATGAAAAATCAGCTTTTGCTCAAGGTTTATTAGTAGTCATTCAGGAAATGTATTAAGTTCTGATTTGCCTGACCTTCTTGAATTTTGTACCTTTGTAAACATCAAAAAATGTGAAATGTTTTAGTAAAAACCGTTACTGTTGCTGTTGTTGCCAGAATTTACTGTAAAATACAGTAATGATATTTCAGGCATTACATGATGGTATTTTGGTAACTGTATTTCTTCATATTTTTAAAAACATATTTTTTAATCTACATTTTACCATAAAAAAAGATGTCTTGTTAAAATATACATTTTCAACCAAAAAAAAAATTTAATAAAAATACGGTACTTCATTTTTTTTTCTCTATAAAGTTAATTTTTTACAATATTTTACAGTGAAATTATATAGAAAAAAAAAAGAATGTTTTTTTTTTTTTAATTACGAAATGGCAGTGTAACCCAGTAGGTTATAACTGTGTTGTTAATAAGTTACTTCAATTTATTAGCTTGTATTTGTTTAATTAAGAGAGAAAATGTGAATTAACCATTCATCTTTGTTTGTGATCATACGTGTATTTGTGCCTTTAAGAGCGCGCGTGCATGAGATACAAGTTTGATAGAGGTGTACTTGTGGAAAACGTGGCTTTAACCATCAAGTTAGGTGTTTGATTAGTTATTGGTTTATGTGAATTAAGTCCCGCCCTCACTGGTGTTTTGTGTAATGTGAGTGGTTGTTCGGGACATGAGAGTTTTTGTTGACAAGCGCGAGGGAGAGAGGGAGAGAGACGGAGATTGAGAGAGACGCATTTGCGGGTACAGAGTGATTTGATTGACGATTTTATAAGTTAAACAACCTTTAACTGTAATGTAGATCCAAGATGAATTGCTTGTGTGTGCGTCTTTGACTTTGTAGCCAGTGTTTTTATAGTTTTGTTTTGTGTGGCTAACCTGCCGTGTGGGAGCGAATCCGAGTGTTTTCGTTTAGTTATCACTGCGCATATCTGCGCATCTGAACTGATTACAGCGACAGTTAAACAACCGACTAAAGACTGTTTAACCTGGTTGTTGCCCTTCACAACGAGGGAGACCTTGAGGACCAGATAGCGCCCCAAATACCCGCGTTATTTGGGGTTCCTCTGGCGGCGTGGGAGGTGCATTTCGTCGGCTGACGAGGGAGAGAGAGGACGAGGAGCTGCGTGACGCCTGCTGCAGGATTCCGGAGTTGCGGTATCATTGCACGTGGAATTGAGGTATCTTTGTTTGAATTGTTTTGTGCTCAGGAGAGTGAAGGGGCCATTTGTCAGTTTCCCGGCCACCACGAACACGAGCCACGTTTCAGGCCTGCAACGGGGTGGGGTTGAGTCAATGACTGGTGTGTGTGTGTGTGTGGGCCCACCGCATTAAATATTGGTACATTCTAGTATTATTCAGTGCACTGAACATGTAATTGTTTATATTCAGAGTATATTTGGTATAATTTGTGAGTTATTGTATACATTTATCCCATTGAGGTCATTGGTTTAAGATATACTGATTCTATTGGACCTGTATACTAATTTCAGTAGGTCGGGCATCTGAGAAATTGTCCTTCGAGGATTAAATTGTGTCCCATTTAATGTGAATGTGATTGTGGGAACACTTCACATTCTGAAACTCATTGTTTGAGCCAGTTAACATTTGATCATTCTATTACAATTAAATCCTTTATTTGTTTTGTACTTTTACCAGTGTGTTATTCTTTCAGAAGTGTTTGTTGACTTCATCAGTTTGGGGGCGTAGAGATTTAATTCTGAGTAACTTCGTAAAAGGAAAGTATAGATTATTATTCTAATTTTCTAAAAGAGAATTAATTCATTTAGTGACACCAGAGGGGCCTAACTTCAACATCTGTAGGCATATAGTTAATGAATCTGGAGCGCTGTCCTACTTAATTACAAGAAAGACAGGTAGGGGGCGCTACATAAAGTGGGGGCTCGTCCGGGATCTCCCTCTGTGAGTCACACAATAGTTGATGCTGAAAGAAGAAAAAGAGGAATTAAGCTCAACACACCCCTGTAATTACATCATAATTAACTGAAAAGTGCATAAAGTGTCATCATGGCTCTATCAAAAGACCCCAGTCTCCAAGCAGAGTTGGCCAACTGGTGCAAAGATGCTAGCATTGAAGAGACTCATGCTTTAATGCTGTTAAACGTACCCGTTCACACCGAAGTGGCCGAAATTGAAGAGGCGATGGAAGCTGTAAAAGCTCTAGGGAGAGTTCGTGTAAGGGACACGAGAGAAGGACCCACTTCACATTACCTGCTGGTGTTGTGTGAGTGCAGACAAGCCATCGACCCAAAGCGCATACCTCCTGAAGTGTCACGGGGAGACAAGAAAGAGCCATGGCCAGTCATAGTAATCCAGACAAAGGCATCGGCTGCTGACACCGCTTCTGCAGGTTTTACAGAAAAGTTTGCGAAGTTCCTGATGGAAGAAGGAAAGTCTCTTAGCGATGTACATGCTTTGATTTCTCCACACAGTGCCACCGACAGTTCCCCTGAGTCAATTATACGCGCCATGGGTGAGGTCCTGGAAAAGACAGTAAAGCACTCGAGTGACAGCAACACCTACCGACGCCTGCGCACCTTTTCAGCCGTAGTTCCAACCCCCATGGGTGAGGAGAATATGGAAAATTGGATTGATCAAGCCAGGCTGCTGATAACTGAGTGTGACTGCTCCGAAAAAGAAAAACGACGCAGAATTGTGGAAAGCCTCAAGGGACCTGCAATGGACATTGTAAGAGCTGTTAGATTCTCTGATCCTGAAGCTAGTGCCTCACAGTATCTGGAAGCGTTGGAGAGCACCTTTGGATCATCTGAGTCTGGTGAGGATTTATACTTCAAGTTTCGTCTTATGCGCCAGGGAACAGGGGAGGCCTTGTCTGAATTCCTGAGACGGATGGAGAAGACCCTCAGCAAAGTAGTGGAAAGAGATGGACTGACTCACAGTCTGGTCGATAAAGTACGAGTGGAACAGCTGATTAGAGGGGCTGTGAATTCTGACATGATGTTGCTCCAACTGAGGCTGAGAGAAAGAAAAAATCACCCACCTTCTTTCCTGAGTCTGCTGAAGGAAATCCGTGAGGCGGAGGAGAGTGAATCGGCTCGCCACAGAATGTCTGCAAAAGCTAAGGCCATACATTTCCATGAAGAGGAAAGAGCCAGCACGTCTGTTATCCAGGAACTCAAGGCCGAGCTTCAAGAATTGAGAACCCAAATAAGGGGAGTTGAGCCAAAAGCCATGTCTACTTCATCATTAGTGATTGAAACTAAAGAAAAACCATTCAAGAAGACTGAAAAAACTGATGATTCAGAAGTACAAGAGTTAAAGAAACAGGTCCAACACTTACAGCAGCAGTTGGCAGTTCTGAGTGTCAGTTCTACTCAATACTCACCTCATGTTCCAGAGCAGCGGCCAAAACCATCCCAGTCTGTTTCCACGTCGTTAAGATACCAGTCAGCCCGAACAAGAGATGACTACTTCTGCTACAAGTGTGGAGAAGATGGCCATATTGCCACAAAGTGTCAAGCGCCACCAAATTCTGATCAAGTGATTCAGAAGCTGATTCGTTCTTTGAGGCAGGTAAAGGGTGGAAAGCCTGAGACGGCTGACAATAGAACTACTCAAAACCAAGCCTGTTTCTCCAAAAAGAGCCAGACCACCATCCATGAATCCAGCCGTCTTCCTAAAGGACTAGTAGGACCGGCATCCACTGTAAAAGTGAAGCTTAATGATCGTGTATGTCAAGCACTGTTAGACAGCGGATCACAAGTGACGATTGTGTTTGAAAGCTGGTATTCCAAGAATCTGCCTGATGTGCCCATTCACCCGTTGACTGGATTATCCATATGGGGCCTCAGTTCTTCCAGTTACCCGTACAAGGGATATATCATCGTGGATGTCACATTTCCTGCCTCTGTCACTGGTGTGGAGGAGCCGTTGTCCATCCTGGCTCTTGTATGTCCTGAACCCCAGGGTCCTTCCCAATTGCCAGTCATTATTGGTACCAATGCCAGTTTCTTCACCCGCCTTGCGACCCTTAGCCATGATACAGAAGGATCCAGTGTTGCACGTGCTTTGAGAATCCAGAC